ATGCTTGCGTCATTTGAATCCCAAAATATTCACGCTATTTTAGTTTCAGAATCTTGGCTAAAACCCTGTCTGCCTTCTACTTCTTACTCTTTGCCCGGGTTTCATCTAATTAGAAATGATCGCACTAATAGGGGTGGCGGGGGCGTGGCGATCTATCTTAGATCCTACTTTCCATTTAAAATTGTTAGTTCGTCATGTCAACCACCCCCTGTTGATTCTGCTGAGCATTTGCTGGTTGAGGTCTCCCTGTCTCAGAACAAAATCCTTCTTGGAGTATTCTACAGTCCCTCTCTTTCTGTAAACTATTTTACTTCTTTCGAATCTCTTTTGGAATCACTAGTCCCTACGTATAGTCATACTATTTTGATGGGAGACTTTAACACCTGTTTGCTTAAAGGCGACAATCGGGCTATAAAGCTTAAGTCTATAATTGAAGCGTGTAATATGCAAATCCTACCCCTTTCTGCTACTCATAACTTTCCTAACTGTACTCCTTCCCTTCTTGACTTAATTATAGTGTCATCTTCAACACTGGTTTTCAAACACGGACAGTGTCCTGCTGATGCATTCTCTCACCACGATTTAATTTTCCTTTCGTATAAACTACGCCCTCCTAAAATCAAACCTAAATTAGTTCTGCGACGTAATTTTGGAGGAATGGATGTTGACCAACTTTGTGAAGATGCGCATAACATTGACTGGTCAGTGATTGAGAGAGTACCGTGCATTGATGATAAAGTTGAACTTTTCTGTTCCTTACTTACTCAGCTTTATGACATTCACGCGCCAATGCATTACGTAAAACTCAAACATTTACCTGCTCCATGGCTCTCTGATGATCTGAAAAAACTTATCTTGAAGAAAAATGTAGCATTGTCAAAGCTTAAGAGGAATAAAACAGAGGAAAACCAAAGGAAATACGCCAAAATCAGGAATCGCTGCAATACATTATGTAGAGATGCACAACGACGCCATATTCATACATCAGTCGAGAACGGCGACTCATCTAGAGTGTGGAAGTTTCTTAAAACAGTTGGAGTTGGAAGAACATCCCTAAATGCCTTACCTCCTTGTGTTGATGTTGAACTATTAAATCAACATTTTTCTAATCCTTCTAACTCTTTTGATAGAGAACAGAAATTGCAAACACTTCGTTCTCTTTCTGTAACTCCGACTCCTAATTATCCTCCGTTCGTTTTTAGTCAGTTTACTGTATGTGATGTTAAGAAGATCATATTATCCATCTCCTCAAAAGCTGTCGGTAGCGACAACATTAGCCGTGATATGATCATTCCTCTCCTTGATGTTATCGCTCCTACTATTACTTATTTACTTAATGCATGTGTCTCTTCGTCTAAATTCCCTCAAGCCTGGAAGAGTGCACATGTTATACCCTTCCGAAGAGATCCAATCCTGTCAACCTTTCTGATTTCCGTCCCATCTCGATCTTACCTTTCCTTTCTAAAGTCCTTGAAAAACTTATTTGCCAACAGCTAACCCTTTTCCTTAATAAGCACAATTTGTTGAATCCTTTACAATCAGGTTTCCGTCCTGGTCATAGTACGGCTACTGCCTTAATCAAAGTTACTGATGACATACGGTGGGGTATGGATAATAAACAACTCACAGTCATGACCTTGCTGGATTTCAGTAATGCGTTCAATACTGTTGATTTCGATATACTGTTGAGTCTATTGTGTTCCCTTAACATATCTCCATCAGTAATTGACTGGTTTCAAAGTTATCTCTGTGGCCGTCGGCAGTGTATTCGTGTAGATGAAACTCACTCATCTTGGTGTGATATTACTGCAGGCGTGCCGCAGGGCGGCGTGTTGTCACCTTTACTCTTTTCCATTTTCATTAATTCAATCACTCATAAAATATCTTCTCTCTACCACATGTATGCGGATGATGTTCAGATTTACACCCAGTCAACTCTTGAGAATTTGCCGAATGCAATCTCTATATTAAATAACGATTTAAATATTATTCATGAGTGGAGTAAGTCATACGGCCTAAATGTTAATCCCAAAAAATCACAGGCCATTATTATTGGTAGCCGGAGCTTTATCTCAAGAATTGACTGGTCCTCCGTACCACCTATCGAATTCGATGGAATTGTAATTCCTTACTTTGACAGTGTCAAAAATCTTGGTATTTATTTCGATAACTCCTTAAATTGGATACGCCAACTGAATGAGGTAAGTAAGAAAACCTTTGTCGCTCTTAGTTCACTGCGTCGCCTTCGATCATTTCTTCCCATTCCTACAAAAATTATGCTCGCACAGTCTCTTCTCCTTCCGATTCTCGACTATGCTGACGCAAGCTATGTAGACATAACTGAGGACCAGCTAAATAAGCTTGAGAGACTTCAAAACACTAGTATTCGGTTCATATTTGGATTGCGCAAATTTGACCATATTTCCCAATTTCGCTCACGTCTCAAGTGGTTACCTATCCGACTTCGCCGGAATATGCATATTCTTTCTATTCTGTACTGTGTATTATTTCACCCTTCTACACCTCCTTATCTAAAGGAGAAGTTTAGTTTTGTAGGGCTTCCAGGAGAACCTCTACGTTCTTCAAGAAAATTCATTTTAAGGGTTCCAACTCACAATACTTCCTTTTTTTAATAAATCTTTTACTGTCCAATCTATCAAGCTCTGGAATGCCCTACCGTTGCGTATACGTGAAGCACAAACGATTGTTATATTTAAGCGACTACTTAAAGAGCATTACTTGTCTCAGTCGTTTTAACACCGTTAGAATAAATTAAGTGATTATGTATCTATTGTATTTATCTGCTTTATATTATTGTTTGAGGAATTTTTTATGTATATGTATATATATATCTATATTTGAGTAAATGCGTAAGTTTGTTTATATATTTATATATATGTATGTATATTTATATTTATATATGTTTTACTTTATTTTTATTATATTTTAGCAATTTATATAATTTCATGTATTAGTTATTTGTATGTTATTTTATTGCATGTATTGTCTATAAATCGCTATTATATTATGTATATTTATATTGCACCACCTACCTAGTTCTCACTGTTCTAATCCTTACACCTTTGGTTGCCTGGAAGAGATCGCTATGTAGCGATAAGGCCGCCAAATTGTACTTACATAATATTATAATCTTTTTTGTGTTTTGTTAACTGTATATTTGTTTGTGGTGTACAATAAAAGTATATTCATTCATTCATTCATTGTTGAGACAGCTAGATTAGTTTGTTTTAGTTACTTTCATAGCGTAATATCTTATGAAATCGTACTATGGGTAAATCATTATTAAACTAAGTACTTCTCTTTTTTCAGCTTCTTTTCTTTCTTTGTAATCAGATATGTTTGTTTCCATTACTCCGGTTATTATTATGTTTTTGCTTTTTACCAATCGGTTATAAAGTTCTGTCATCACAGATTTGAAAAATTCTCTTTGTATATTATAGCCAGATTTATGAGGAATACTATAGGCTACACTTCTGACACACGTCTTCTAGCCTTAATATTATATTTCTTTTTCTTTTCTCTACTATTTTTCTTTTCTACGTGCCAAACGTTCGGGTCTGTACGGAAGGTCGCCCATTGTAGGCGCTAATGTAAAAAATGATATACTCGTAATTTTAATGTTGTATACCAGCTACATATAAAACTTAAACGTATCGAATCGTTATGAATAAAGCCATTTAATTTTATTTGAATTATCAATCAAAATTGTGCGAACGATGCCCAAACGCAAGCTGTCCCAATGAAAGCCGAGATAAACCAGCATTCACAGCAGCAATATTTTAGATAGAAATGTATGAAAAATGTATGGAGTACTTTTATCTATCGGCGAAGGAAAATATCGTGAGGAAACCTGCGTGTCTGTGAATTAAGAAAAAATATTTCGAAGACATGTGAAGTTTGCCACGCGCTAGGGCAGCGCGACTGACACTTCTTTGGCCTAAGACATTGAAGTATTACTACTACGTATATAGAAGACAACACCTTGCATGATTTGACGCCATGCTTTGCGGTACACTGTACCGCAACTGTTTAGTGAGTGTCCGACGCCCGTAAAGACGAGTCATGTTCGCTTCGCATAAATAACAACTTCGAAATGCCTGGTTGTGTTCTTAAAGACTGTAGTAAACACTCCAGAACAAAAAAGTGATGGTTTAACATTTCATCGGTAAGTAAACATTAAAACGTTTAAAACTCTTTGATTTAAAGATTTTCGCATTGTTACAATGCTTGTTACAAAATGTAAAATCAATGCGAGCGACTTGTACACTACGTTGAACGATACGCGTAAACGCCATGAAATTCCTGGTGCTTATGACGTTTTGGTCGCGAGAAAACTGATCACTAATGAAAACTAGCGCTGCATGTTTTAATAGTTTGGTTAGACGACGTAACTATTTTACTATTTTAGCTCTGCAGCGAACTTTAGTTCTTACTCTTACCAAAATGAAGCAAACTTTTGGTTCGGGGTGTCTGTTCTATACGCTAGTAATATAGTTTGATGGCCTAAGACCCTCTCAGAAATGAGAGGAGGTATGTGCCCAGCAGTGGTTCGTATATAGGCTGTAACTTAACTTTGCGCGGAAATTAGATGTGATATCACTTTTGTATGTTTAAGAGGCACTCAACTATTTATGTTATAATGTATGTTCATATATCTGCAAACCCCACCAATAGTTGAAAAGAAATTGTCAAAAGTGTTTTTTCGCAATTACTAGAAAATGATAAAAAACAGACAAAAAGATCTCATAAAAGGTGTAGAGCTAAACATTTTACATAAAATATGTTCCATGATATTTTTTTCTCCGTTCAAAATTAATTAATTAACCGAGAGTTCTGTATCGGGAAAAAACACTATGTATACTTTCCTCTGGCCCGCTGCTCTAGTGTCCTGATTTGCTCTATAATTGCAGACTAGGGTGTACAAAAATAAATAAACCTTCTATTAAACACTATATAAACCAAAGAGTTTTATTTATTACCTGTCGGGGCGGATCGCCGGAGTCTACAGCAGTAGCGACGACGTGCAGTACCGATGAATTCATTGTTGCCAACGCTTCTCGTCGCAGGAACATCTCGCCCGAGTCGTTTATGTAGAACAACCTGGCAAATGGTATTACAAAGAGCTAATTTATACTCTGTCACGGTGCAGTAAAATCCATAATGAATATGTAACATTTCTCTTATTATTCAGTCTAAATCATTACCATTACAGCCTATAAAAGTCCTCTGCTGAACACAGGCCTCGCCCATAGATTGCCATGTAGGGAGGATTTTGCCACAGTGGCCAGGTTTGGCTGGCGGGTTGGCAAGCGCAGCGTTTTGTTATTTTGAATTGTTAATAAGAAGATGCAGCTGCCTATCTTCTGTTTTAGTTCACCTCCGTCACCTTTTATGACACCCAGGGGACGTTACAGGACATATTCTTACATCGCCGATACCTGTGTATTATAACAGTTATACTAAACCTTCTCATCTAATAAAACCTTTGTGTCTTTAAGGTCAAAGTGAATAGACTTTTGTTAAGAGGAGCCAGATGGCTTTACCTCTTCAGCTACATTAATACGTATCAGGCTCGTAGTCAAGTAAAAATATATAAATGAACAACTTATAGAAGTTTAAGTTCTTTAGCTTAAGCTTTTGTAAAGTGATATTGAAGAAGATAATTGCACGAGTCGATTATATGACTTTATATGTAAAATAATGTTTTTCTATACTTGCGTTTGGGCTTTTTCGATCATGAGGAATTTGTCTAAGTAAAGAATGTTTGGGTAATCGCAGGGCTTTTGTTAATTATTTTGATAAGATCCTCTAAATTTTACAAACATGCCATATATACTATATACATTATACGTATATATTTCTTTTTCTTCAATTGATTGTAAATTCGAGATCAACGACGTTTAAATATTATTTTGTGTAAATAACAGAATCTTTTAGTGTTTTGATATGTCTCTTGTCATTTAGTGTCATGGAAGTCATTATATGAAGATAGCTGCTATCATCATATAAGTATAACTTCAAATGTATATTCGGGTTTCAAGACTCAGATTAGTGATAATGGCGATTGTTAGGTGAACTTTTTTATTGGAAACGAGACGTTTAAACTTAGTCCTCAGAGGTGACAACGCGACTGCATTTTGATTATCAATAGAAAATAAATGACGATAACTATGGTACACAGAATCCACCTACCATCAGACGGTGCTGTGGAAATTTGTTATCATTATTCTGTATAAAAATCACTAGGATGGAATAAAGCTTAAAATAACACATAAAAGCGCATGCACACACACACACACACACACCACACACACAACAAGCAAACTTTTTTCTTAATAAAACGCATATATATATATATATATAAAGAAAGAGATGGATAGTGATAGAGAAAGAGTGTGAGCGAGTAAGAAGGCAGTAGGTCTCACGGTGCGTGCGTGCCGCGTAGTGTGAGCGAGACAGAGTCCGCTCGGTCGCCGTCATGCACCTCCAGCCGCCCCACCGCCCCCAGCCCGCTCGCGCTGCACAAACACATCTAACGTCATATCACTGCTTTTTAACGTGGAGAAAACTACGCATACTCTCTTGCGGGTGCAAGGATGGGTTGTATCGAACTCACACCGACTAATACCTCATGGTGTTCCAGCTTCGCCACATAGTTGCAGAGTCATGGAAGCGCGCACGCTCACATCCGCAGCACCATGGCAGCCCCTGCCCGGGAGAGGACTACTCCTCTCTAAACTCCTAGTCAGGTAAAGCACACCAAAACACATGGTGCGCTCTCCTTCACGTCTTCCGACTTCGTCATTCCATTACTTACATCCAGTCATTTGTACTCCTTTTTAGTGGAAATAAGGCATTCCATTTTAGTCATCAAGGGTACCACCTTATCTGCATTTTGATTCTTTATCGAAGATGGATGTCAATGAATTACACCATATACTTACCGTCAGGTGGACTATGTGCTCGTTTGTCACACTTATACTATAAAGAATAATATCTATTTTAAGAAATATTTGCATACTAGCAATGTCTTAAAAGGCATATAGACTCTAAATACTTAAATAAGTAAAAGTATATAGTATGATAACACATACGCTACATCGCTATCCTCATCCTCCATAGCATCTGTGTCCAGTTGAAACTCATAGTGCGGGAAACGGAACCGCGGCTCCCACTCGTTGACGTTTAGCACCGTTATGTTCACTGTCGCCGTATCGTTCTGTAATAGTTCGTTATTATTCTAATATCATAACATAAACACTCATGCCTGTAACCCAGAGGGGTCTTGAGGATGGGAGGACGAGGAGTGAGGCATGAGGGGGTCGCGGAGAGTACAGACTTCCATTTGGCACGATCCTGACACACCTCTCTTGCCTCCTTCACATCCATACACCTACGCATACATGCTCGTCGGTTAAGGGTACTCCTAATTTGGCCCGTTTTCAATAAATCGCCAATTTGGTCGATAAATTTTCGCCTAGGACGTCCCTTTCCGACTCTGCCATTCACTTCTGCACCATAAATTTTCTTTGTCACTCTTTCCTCATTCATTCTTTCCACATATTATATTCTAATATCAAATTGTACTTTAATTATATGTACATCAAGGTTAAATTTATTTTGTCACTTACACTGACTCCGTCGGTGACCATAACTTGGTAGTTGTAGGAGTCCGTTGTTTCGTAATCGAGGGATTTCTTCAGTAATACTTCACCGGCACTGTTAATCGCAAACTTGTCCAGAAAACTTTTGTCTGACACGTAGAATTGAAGAGGAGCCTGCAATCATTGAGTTGATTTTTAATTTTTTTTTATCAATATTTAACACATGGTAAATAAAACTCTTTTATAATTAAAAGAATCAGGCGTTACTTTGCGGAAATCCATTGTATTAAATATTGTACTATGTGCAGAATTTAGCGTATAGCATGTAGTGTGTAGTGTGCAGCGTGCAGCACCTGCGGCGGCGCGGTGTGCAGCGCGAGCAGCAGCGCGCCGGGCGCGGCGTCCTCGCGCACACGCGCTGCGAACGCTCGCCGCAGGAAGCGCACTCGCCGCGGAGCCGCACGCGATAACTCCAGTGCTGCGAGTGCATAGCGGTCCGCGTTGTCCACCTGCGTTGCCTACGGTACACAAACCTATCTTACTTCATTTTACAAACTTTCTATTTCACTTATAACTTTATGTGATAGAGCTTTGCTGCAGCTATAAATGCTATAAATACGAATGGATCGACTCGATCGGAATAGGATCACGCTCTCACAGAATACCATCGTAAAACAGCAGCTTAATGCTGCTAGTTTCGTATAATGGGTGTAGGGAACAAGAGACCCTTTTTAGTGGAAACGAGGCATTCCATCTAAACCCTCGGGGGTGACAATGCATCTTTTTTATAGAATTAGTGTGACAAACGAGCACACAGTTCACCTGATGGTAAGTGGATGCTGTAGCCCATTAGACATCGATATTAATCCTCGATTAAAAATCAAAATGCATCTTTATTGCCACCCATGAGAACTAAGATGGCATATCTCGTTTCCAAAAAAGGGTCTTCGATTATATATATACTAAACATACAAAACACAGAAGTATTAATTTGCTATTTAACGCTTGTATTCTCTGAGAGTGTGTCGACCAGGGCGAGCCGAACCATTCGTGCTACAGCTATAACTGCAGCATGACTCTGCCACGAAATCTCCGAAAATCTCTCTTTGTGGTAGATATTCCACATATTAGAATCAAACAGTTTGCTTCGTTTTCCGTAATGCGTACAGCAAAGGAGTAGAATAATTTGACGGCGTCTATCTTTCCGTCCTAATACAATCTGGATACCTTGAAGGTAAGAGATAAGCTGCAAGTGGGATTCAATATAACATAAACATTAAAACATATCCACTCACGCCTGTCTACCAGAGGGATAGGCAGAGACTACAGAATTCCATTTGGCACGATCTTGACACACCTCTCTCGCCTCCTCCACATCCATATACCTACGCATACATGCTAATCGGTTAAGGGTACTTCCAATTTAGCCTGTTTTCAACATATCGCCAATTTGGTCGATAAACTTTCGCCTAGGACGTCCCTTTACCGACTCTGCCCTTCACTTCTGCAACATAAATTTTCTTTGTCACTCTTTCCTTTCATATTTTATATTGACATTATATTGACACATGACCAAACCACCGAAGCATTCTTTTCTTAATCCTGGTCACAACATCATCTTGCAAATTACACTCTTCTCTTATCACACAATTTCCCTGTCATTCAGATTCAGCCCTAACATTCTTCTTAACCATCGCATTTCTACTGCATTTATTCTACTCTCGTGCTTCTTCTGCCACACCCAACTTTTACTACCATACGTTAAAGTAGGGACCAACACAGTATTGTGAATTGCCATACATGCCTTTTTTGACACATTCTGACTTTTCACATCCGAGTGTAGGGTCCCATTTACTCTATTTCCTGCGTTCACTTTCCAATACGCATCCCAAATATACAAACTGATTTACTTGCTCGATCAACTCCCCTTCTATTCTTATTTGGGGCTTTATCACCTCTTACCATTAGGTGGGGTTATGGTTAATCCCTGGCTGATAATAAGTACAAATAAATCACTATTTCTTCAGTTTCAAAAGTAAGTAGTGTTGCGAAGAATTGACTTATCAGATGTGTAATGTAGGAAAGGCTGATGAGTGAGTGAGGCAGTGTTATTTCTCTTTTAAATATACGGCTGCCTTGTAGGTATAATGATCGTAAACGCGAATGCTGATTAGACCCGAGTTTGGATCCCTGGTTTAGCCAAAAATCAGTTATTGGGTTTTTCTGTCAAGATATTCTCAGTACCAGCCTGGATCCAGGAAGTTAGCGGTATTTCACCCCCCCCCCTACCTCGAAAAGCACGTAAATTTGTTGGTCCTGTACCTGATCTCTCTTCGGTCGCGTTAGATTACCGTCTCATGGGATTATGATAGTGAGGGAATGAGAGAGTGCACCTGTCCTCTCTATTCCGTACAGATGGCTAGTCTCCGTTGGGACCGATCGCCATGATCGAAATCAGTCTGGAGGACTTTACATTATTATGTGTCGTATTTATATGCATATATGACACTGACCTTGATGACGATAGTGGCGGGCAGGTCGGCGTCGCGCAGCGCGGCGGCGGCGGCCACGCGGCCCGACTCGCGTTCCACGCGCACCAGCGCCGCGCTGCTGCCCGCCTCGCTCGCCACAGCGTAGTACAGCGGGGCGTTGATACCCACGTCCTGGTCCGCGGCCGAGATCGGGCCCGGCGACGTCTTCAGTATGGTACCCTGCTCACACATATCACGCAATTGTTCAAATCCAATACATAGGTACAATTTGATATTTTTGAGATTTTTTTTTATAGGAGATGGGGCAAACGAGCATACGGCTCACCTGGTGGTAAGTGACTACCGCCACCCGTGAACAACTGCAACACCAAGGACCCGGCAGATGCGTTGCCAGTTTTAGCAAGGAGTACACTCTTTTTTTGAAGTTCCCTAAGTCGTATCGGTCAGGAAAAAACATCGGTGGTAAACTACTCCACTGAGAGGTCGTACGCGGAAGAAAACTCCTAGTAAAACTTACAGTGGTGGACCGTCAAGCATCCAGATGGTTTGAATGGTATCGGTAGTTTTGCTGCGATGTGCGTTCATGAAATTTGGTACTCCCCATGGTAGATGCGAAAGAAAATACAAAAGGATGCAACATCTCTTCGCAGTGCCCAAGTGAATTGAACCGATCGTAAAGTACTCTGTCGTCGATGATTCAAGCTGCTCTGCGCTGGACGCGGTCAAGCGGTCTCGTTCTGTTGAGCACGCCAAGCTTTTTTAGAGGCTAAATTTGGCTTTCCCTTCCAAGTGACCACGAAACTGCACGTCACTCCATATGCCCACTGATTCCGATACCTGCTGAGGCAACAAGGGGCGTGCCTTGAAACTGGGGATAGACGACAAAGGGGTTATTTTTCCAAAGGGTAAGAATGGTATTACCCATGCCTGCTTAGCAATGAGTTACAGCACTGAGAGCCACTGGTTTAACAATGATAGTACATGTATATGTATAGCCAATAATTGTTCCTGATCTGGCCCTGTGCAATTTGTGGTTGTAAACTGCCTCCACTATACAGGACAAAATCCTACTATAGGGGTAACGTTTTTTTAATAAAAAAGAGATGAAAGTGCCTATGAATCACAGTATCTACTTACCATCAAATGGACTGACTGCTAATCCTTTTTTCCCTTACTTCTATGAAAAAACAATAGATTCACTCACTGACCTCTTGGACATCATCTGGTACAAGCGCAGTGTAGTGGTCGTGCGTGAACTTGGGGTTCTGGTCGTCTGCGTCGAGCACACGCACAGTCAACTGCGTGTCACTATACCGTGGTGGCGTGCCCGCGTCCTGAGCGCGCAACGTCAGTGTAAAATTCCGCACTCGCTCGTAGTCCAGAGGTTTCTTCACAACTAATGTACTGTCCAGTTCATTCGCGAAGCCGATGAACTCCTACCGAATATCGAAAATCGTTAACTTGTATATTAGTTATATGTCAATGAGACTTACACGGTAATGCTACTCTCGGCACACCTTGCTAATTGATTTAAAATTCACGACAAAACAATGTTGAAAAAATTTTAATTATTTCTCACATGTACACAATGTGTATAGGATAACGACCCATACCTACCAATATTTAATATAGTGGATCTTACCACCATCCGTTACAGTTAGCTATCGTGGAAAAATCTTTGTTTCAGAGAGCGAAAACTGAAGGTAGCCGGACTTACTATGACATCGGAACGTCAAACACCTCTGTCCTGCACGTGATCATGGATGTTGTAAAGCACCCTAACGTTGGATATTAAAAAGTTAAGATTAAACGTGATAAAATCCGTAAAGTAAGTTTCATTTAATGTTGAAAAAGTTATTCCAATCATGCTGAAGCCAAACCCAAAGGCTGGTGATGGGTAGAATTACCAGCAAGCAACCCACTATGTAGTGCACGAGGGCGTGCGGGCCGGCTCAGCAAGAGTGCGGTACGTACGCTGTGCGGGCCGGGCAGCACTACGTAGTGCACGGTAGCGTGCGGGCCGGGCTGATCAGCGTCGCGCGCCGGCGCGGCCAGCACGCGGCTGCCGACACTCGCCAGCTCCGACACACGCGCCTCGAACGGCGCACCGATCCACTCCGGCGCGTTGTCGTTCACGTCCCATACGCGCACCGACACCGGGATTATGAAACTCTGCAAGCAAACAACAATGTCTGAGACAATAACAATAACTATAAAAAATATAAACACGAAAGAGATCTACCCGGAACCGGAGACGTTATGTCTCTGTCAGAAAAGTCGCAATACGGAACAAAGGGTTAAATAAATAGAGAGTCATAAAAGTTCACGTGGAATAGAGCCTCGCACAAGTATCTCGTGAGATTTGGATCGTAAAACCGCAAGGTCATGTGAGGTGGAAGGTTGTAACTGTGTGCTCGGAATGAAATATAGTGCCTTAACACAAATGTACTCAATCGCCCTAATCCTTTATGTCGTTAAGCCATGATGTAGCTATGTTTATTATAGTTGTAGCACGAATAGCGACCGGGAAAGGACCACGTTCTAAAATAGCAGATTAATGCTGTTGTGTTTCGTAATGGTGAGAGTACAGAACCAAAGACCCATTTTCACTAGAAAGAAGCATTCCATCTTAGTCTTCAGGATTGAAAGCGCATCTGCATTTTGATTCTTTATTGAGGATAGACGTAGATGTCTATCAGTCACAGCAACCACTTATCAAGTGAACTGTGTGCTCGTTTGTCACCTTTATCCTATAAAAAAAATCTTTAGCAAATGAACACTTGCTATAAGTATTGGAGGTAGGCTTAAAAATAGCAAGAAAGATGCGAACACATCGTAGTTTTGTTTGTTTTTCTGCACACGTTTTGCTTTAGTGAAAATCAAGTCCAGACCGTTTCTTTTTTCGAAAAGAAAACCAAACTACATCTACCTACCAATTTTACAATATCGAATAATCTCAGAAACCACTACCCCGTATCATCTCATGGTTATGAACAATTCAAAAATTCAAAAACTTGCAGTTCCCCACTCGCCCGGTTCAAATTGTAATTTTGGACCAAGTATTTTAACTATGGCAAATATTACCAGCATTTATCATTGGATTCTTTGAAAAATTGAAGTGCCAATTTTTAACTTAACTATCGATATTTAAGTCCAGAGTAACTTTTATTGGTATATTTTTATTAATTATTTTGTTGTAAACAATTTAAAGTAAGGGTATATGCGCCCTGAGCCAGCGTAATAAAGAATGAGAGATATTTGTTATTAGCCCTAGGGGGGTGGGAAACCGTCTGCCTTTTGTTGTATTTGTTTGGACTAGTCCTTGGGTTACAGGAGCCACTTAGCAACTCGTCGAATCATAACTCGCTTGTTACTAATATCACATAATGTATATAATAATTATTATTTTGGTCACGGCAGCCAGTCTTTTTTTTACTTAATATAAGCCAGTGCTTGATCACAATCCCAACCATGGTAAGTGGTGATAATGGTAAATCGCACTGTCGTAGCGTAACAAAAGCCTATTCACTCTTGCCTTTAATACGCGCAGATTGTATTCGGATGGAAAGATAGACGCCGGCAAATTACTCCACTCCTTTGTTGTTTGCCGTGTAGTGGCGGCCCGTAAGATCGGAAGGTCACGTAATTTGATACTCCTGTTTGCTCGCCGACCTTAAAATGGCGGGAATTGCAAATTTTTTGCTAACTTGCAAATTTTGCTATATTTTTACTTTGAGACAATATTTATGGATAAAACTTACAGGAATTCTTGTTGAATGTATAAACTATCGAATAAAATTATTTTTAGTTGCTAGAAATTGTAATAAAATTCATAAATTACCCCTTATAGCATAGTAGTAGATACTTCACTTTTAGTGCTAAAATTAGTACTAATTTGAATTCTACACATTTTTTGGGGGAAATTTATATGAAAATGTTTGGAAATATGTATATTTTTATGTTTTATGTGTTTCTATTCGTTACTCATACCAAAATATAAAAAAAAATTAAAAAATATTATTTTTATCTGTATGAAATTTCGAACAAAATTTCAAATATATTTTTGTGTGAATTTGAAATATGTTATAAAACTATTTTCTAGTTACATTTTACACTAAAAATAAATGAGAATTGGAAAAATAACACATTTTTGGCCCAACCGCTAAAATGGGCCTTCTCGATTTCGAAGTACTTTTGGCACTTACTTTTCACTTTTTTTGTCACAAATTATATATCTACGTGTTTATTATATTACAAGGAATACAAAAAAAAAGTATAATACTTTCGTTTTTAGTCCAGACACAAATATAAAATTCTATAAAAAAGACTGAGCACTTTCTGCAATGCGACCCGTGGAACGCCGGAAGTTCAGAGTGATTTCTTTTTTTTCTAAGAAACATTGCCAGGTTATGGTTTAAAGTAAAAGAACATATCTTTGTATTTAACTCTATTATTCATTGCATATTGTCTTTGGTTTTGTTTAAAACAAAATTTTTTTGTTCATAGGCCAGTATTTCGTCAACTAATTAGTTGCCGTCCCGAGCCAGCGGTTTTTACGTCCACTAATTTTGTTCCTTCCCAGCGGAACAATTGGTTTCACCGCCAGAACCATTACGCTGATTAGTTTCTGGGGTAGGAGTTGCCATTTAGTAGCGGCTAAGAATATCCACTACCCCATAAATTCCCGTGGGTGTCGTAAAAGGCGACAGAGGGAAACAGGTAGGAGATGGGCAGCAGCATCTTCCTGATAACAGCAACTGTACAACAAAAAAATGCATTGCAAACCCGCTCGCCAAGCGTGGAAACTATGGCAACATACCCCCCATGAACAATTACACAAATAGACAGCCCCCAATCCCCGGCGGGCCCGCTATTCCTGGCTACGGTGGCGACCATGGTAACGGCGGGGCAGGGGGTGCTAAGAATCTCCGGTGGAGGTTCGGTTGCCACCTACGACGACTCGACCTGGTAACATATAACGCACGCACCCTGAGGACTGACGAGACGATCCTGGAGCTGGAAGAAGAGATAGATAAGTTGCGTTGGAATATTATAGGATTATCCGAGGTCCGAAGAGAGGGAGAGGACACGGTGATTCTCGAATCCGGCAACTTGTTCTATCACCGGGAGGGCGACCATCTGTCCCAAGGAGGTGTTGGATTTATCGTCAATAAGTCTCTCGTTAATAACGTTTTAAAGATTGAGAGTGTATCGACGAGGGTTGCGTACCTTATACTCAGAATCACCAAATGGTATTCGCTGAAGGACATACAGGTTTACGCGCCAACGTCGAAACATCACGATGAGGAGGTGAAAAAAATGTATGAGGATATTTCTAGAGCCATGAATTCCTCCAAAACTTACTATACGGTGTTAATGGGAGACTCAAGGCAAAACTGGGCACAAGAAAGAACGGTGAGCTGAAGGTAGGGAAATTTGGGGTAGGGCAATGGAACCCAAGGGGCCAGCAGCTGACCGACTTCATGAAGAAAGAGGGACTTTTTATGATGAAGTCTTTCTTCCAGAAGCGGCGCAACAGAAAGTCGAACTGTTCGAGCCCCGACGGTTCGACAAAAAATGAGATTTACTTCATTATGACGAACAGACGCCAACTGTTCAGTGATGTCGCAGTGATTGCAAAGGTGAAAACTGGCAGCGATCACCGAATGATTAGAAGCACACTGAACCTAAACATTAAGTTGGAGAGGTCTCGTCTAATGAAGTCAACGCTCCGTTCCCCCGTGCTCTAATCAAGAATCCCGAAACTTTGAGTCTCAAAACTCGAATTGCGTAACCGCTTTCAGTGCCTAGAATATTGCAATGCAGTGGACGATATGAATGACAAGCTAGTGGAAACTCTCAACAGCCAGATCTCCAAATGCTTGCTTCTGAAAACGAGTGGAACACCAATACTTAAAGTCCTTCAGAGGCTCTTTCCATTTCCGTCCGTCCTCCATGGTGGCACTACTCCAGAGACGTGGAGCAGAAGTACGGTGGTCCTTTTCTTCAAGAAGGTGACAACAGTTTCTTGAAGAACTACACACCGATTTTCCTTCTGAGCACGTAGAGTACTGTTTTCGAGAGTCATTAGGAATCGTCTCACACGCAGACTCGACTTTCCGCCTCCCGAACTAGCCGGTTTCCTAAAATGCTTCAGTATCATAGACCACATATATACCGAGTGGCAGATTGTACAGAAGACCGAAGAGTACAATCTGCCACTTTGCCTGGCGTATGTGGACTATGAGAAAACCGTTGATTCCGTCGAAATTTGGGCGGTGCTACAGTCCCTTCAGCGGTGCCAAGTTGACTGTCGGTATATCGAAGTGCTGAAGTGTTTGTACAGTAGGGCTACGATGGCTATCCGAGTACAGAACCAGAGTTCAAAACCTATCCAACTGCAGAGAAGTGTAGGACAGGGTGACGTTATATCCCCGAAACTCTTCACCGCTGCATTGGAAGACGTTTTCAAGGTACTGGACTGGAAAGGATACGGTATTAACATCAATGGCGAGTACATCACTCATCTTCGATTTGCCGACGATATAGTCCTTATGGCAGAATCACTGGAGGACCTAAGCACTATGTTCAATCACCTAAATGGTGTCTCCCAATAGATAGGTCTTAAGATGTACATGGACAAAACAAAGATCATGTTTAATGTCCATGTCACACTATGCCGGTAGTTGTTGGGAGCACTATGCTCGAAGTGTTTGACGAGTACCTTTTCCCGGGGACAAATAGTCCGACTAGGTAAGTCCAACTTCGACCGAGAGGTCAATCGACGGATTCAATTCGGCTGGGCAGCGTTCGGGAAATTACGACACATCTTCTCGTCAGGTTTACCTCAAAATCTGAAAACTAGATTGTACAACTAGTAGGTGTTGCCAGTGATGACTTACGGATCTGAGACGTGGTCTTTCACTGCTGGCCGTATGAGGATGCTCAAGGTCGCTCTGCGAGCTATGGAGAGGGCTATGGTCGGAGTTTCTCTGCGTGATACACTCAGAAATGAGCATATCCACAGTAAAATCAGAGTGACCGACATAGCCCAACGATTTAGTAAGCTGAAGTGGCAATGGGCCGGCCATATAGCTCGAAGAACCGATAACCAATGGGAAAGAAATGTTCTCGAGTGGCAGCCTCGTACCGGTAGGCGTAGTGTAGGGTGACCCCCCACTAGATGGAGTAATGACCTTGTAAGACGTGCAGGAAGTCGATGGATGCAGGTGGCTCAGGACCGTGCTTTGTGGCATTACTTGGGGGAGGCCTATGTTCAGCAGTGGACTTGTGAAGAGCTGTAATGACGATGATGATTTGCTGTACGCATTACAAAAGACGAAGTAAACAGTTCTGTTATAATGCGTGAAATATCGACAACAAAGGGGTGAAGACCCGCCGACCGCCTGGTCATCCAATGGTGGAAAGGAGAGGGAGATATTAAAGCGTGCAATTCCTGCGCACACTCACCGAATAGAATAACGAGAGGCTGGCTACTCTGCACATACGCTCGAGGCTGACAAGGTTGGTTTCAAACAAATCAAGGTCACCATTAAGCCTCTCAGCATTTCTCTCCACGTCTGGCCATGCGTTACGCTAGTCCAATGCTGCCAGGTATTTTACAGTACCCTTGCAGCCCTTATGTGACGGTAGTACTCGAAGCACGACCGGACTTGCGCTTTATATAGGGTAAAAAGCTGCGCCGGCGTGAATTACTGCCGCACCCTTGCAAGAACACTAAGTTTCCTCGCGACTGCTTTGGCTCTGGACTCAATGAACTGTCCATAGTTGAGGTTCGGAGTCTCAACAGAGAATAGTCATTTGCGCAGGACAGTATTATATTACCCAAGCAGTGGCGGATTTACCAGCAGGCTTAGTAGGCTGGAGCCTAGGGCGACAAATTTAAGGCTAAATTTTTGTTATGTCTTACACAAATTAAAGAGATTTTGAAGAAGTGAATGAAAGAGAAGTTGAAGAAATATTTTCGTCCGTTATTTTTTTATATAGAATAAGGGTGACAAACGAGCATACAGTCCACCTGATGGTAAGTGGATGCTGTGGCCCATAGACATCTACATTTATCCTCGATTAAAATCAAAACGTAAATGTGTTGTTATCGCTGGTGACTAAGATGGAATGCCTCGTTTACAGTAAAAAAAGGGTCTCCGGTTCTCTACACTCACCATACGAAACACAGCAGTATTAAGGTGCTATTTTATGCTAGCATTCTGTGAGAATGTGGTTTGAGCCGGTTGAGCCGACCCATTCATGCTATAACCATAATGTAGTTCTCCGAACTCTAAAACACTTTTTCGTTCCTTGCACTGCCCACTCTTTAGATTTAGTAGCAACCGCGACTGCTTAATGTTGCACAAAAATTTGTCGCTTCTTCATGTTGCTTAAAAAATCTACATATTTTATGTAAGTTAAACAAAACGCTAGGAAAAAATTAATGACTTAAATCAAGAAAGGAAAAACGCTGAGTAGAGTAAATTTGACACGTTGGTGAGCCTTAAAACTTTGGAATCAATCAAAGATGATAAAATAATACTGAGAAGCCTGTAACGCGAAACAAAGCGACAGGAATACTTTTGAATTCGGAAAACTGAAAATGACGGTAATGGTTATTGTGTGGAATGTTAAAGTGAATATTCACATTTAGGTTTCTAAGGAATACTTTAATAGGAATCTTTATCCAAGTTTTTTGTAGCTAAACGAGAAGATTTTAAGTATTTTGAAGAAAATGCGATGGAATTAGTAAGCGTTTCGAATCAGTATACAAAAGACATGACGAAAAAGACAACCGAAAAGGAAAAAAAAATCGAACATCCGATGAATAATTGAGAATAACTATGAGTGATATTTTCAAGGATAACATATTTCTCTTCTTTATTGATAGACTCGTATTCAAATTAGAAAAACGACAGAAAGCCTTCTACAGATTCAATGAAAAGTTTTAGTTTTTGAGCAAAATTAGTGAAAATATAATAAAAACTCTTGCGGAAAAAGGTCTTTTTCTTGGAAGAAATGAATTCCGATAATTTAGAAACAGATTTCACTAAGACTTTTAGCGAAGAAAGAATTTTAGTGACACCTGATTCTGGGTCATTGGAAAGTCTATCTTCGTTCCTGCTAAAAGAGAATTTGCAAAAAGTTTATCCAAACTTTGATACAGCAGTTCGCATGGCTTTATGTATACCAGCGACAAATTTTTCGGGTGGGGGAAGCTTTTCTTTCTTAAAACGGATAAAAAATTATGTAAGATCTACCATAAGATAAAAAGCTAAACACCGTAGCGCTTTTGTGCGTAGAGTCAGCTAATGAGCAAGATTTCATACGACGATGTAATTGATGATTTTGGGAATAAAAAATCACCGCAAAATGGAATTAATTAACTTTCATTACTCAACTTATTGAATTTCATCACCTTGTCACCCCTAATCTATTAAAAATTTAGTAAGCAAATGACATACGGGATCAGTGGTGCCACGTCTGTCGCAGCGCACGTTGACGTAGAGGCTGGCGGGGCCGGCGCGCTGCTCGCGGTCCAGCGCGCGTGCTAGCGTGAGATTCTTGCTGCCAGCCGGGATACGCAGCGCAGCATCTCTCTCTTGCACCGACAGCGAGATGTCGCCCGACGGACTCGGGTCACCGTTCACGCTTAGAGTACCTGCGGGAGAAACCTTACCATTACCCTTATAGCCTGTCAAATGACCACTGAAGATAGATAGATAAAAAGTAACAGGAGGGCAGAAACAAAAATTCTCTTCAATTAAATTCAAAGAATTGCTTCTCGCCGGACGATCCCAACGTTATTGCGGATTCTGTCGCTGATGTGGTGCTTCAGGGTATGGAACTTTTTATTCCTTCCTCTGTGGTGCCCATTGGAGGCAAATCTCAGCCATGGTTTGGTCGCTCCTATAAAATAGCATCATGCTATAAGCAGGAGTGCTGCCAGGCCTGGGCTGACGCATCAGCGTCCCGGGATGTAAATACCAGCGCTCTAAAAAAGGTGTGTAATTCCGCCTCTAGGTCCTTCAAAATATTCATTGCCAAGGCAAAGTCAGAGCACATAGGCAGAATTGGCGAGAAACTAGTTCGCCTTCCTTCTGGAACCCGTGCATTCTGGTCTCTTGCCAAGGCTGTCCAGGGGAATTCCTGTCAGCCATCTCTTCCATCTCTGCACAGGGAGGACGACTCACTGGCCCATACCGCAAAGGAGAAAGCCGATCTTCTAGGCTCTTTCTTTGCGTCTAACTCGACTCACGATGACGGGGGGAGTACGCCGCCGACCATCCCGTGGTGTGAGTGCTCTATGCCGGAAGTGTAGTTCACACAGCGCTCGGTTCGCAAAGCACTCCTCTCCCTGGACATCCACAAGTCGAGTGGGCCTGACGGAATCCCCCCCAATTGTGTCTGAGGACGTGTGCTCCAGAGTTGGCGCCGGTTTTAACGCGTCTTTTCCGGTACTCCTACTCCCTAGGCGTATTCCCAAAATCATGGAAGACGGCTTTCGTCCACCCGATCCCTAAAAAAGGCGACCGCTCAGACCCGTCCAACTACCGGCCTATCGCCATCACCTCCGTGTTCTCCAAAACAATGGAGTCCATTGTAAACTGCCAGCTCATGAGGTACCTTGAGGATCACCAGCTGATTAGTGACCGCCGCAACGCGCCGCGCAATACGGTTTTCGCCGTGGTTGGTCAGCTGGTGATCTTCTGGTCTACCTAACTCACAGATGGGCGGAGGCAGTAGAGTCCAAGGGGGAGGCATTGGCCGTTAGTTTGGACATTGCGAAGGCCTTCGAGCGGGATTGGCACAAAGCGCTTCTTTCGAAGCTCCCTTCCTATGGGCTTCCCGAGAAATTGTGCGATTGGATCACCAGCTTTCTTGCAGATCGGGGCATCAAGGTCGTTGTAGACGGTGCAAGCTCCGATTGCAAGCCTATTAACGCTGGTGTTCCACAAGGCTGCGTGCTATCGCCAACGCTGTTTCTTCTGCATATCAATGGTATGTTGCAAACCCGTAACATTCATTGCTATGCAGATGACAGCATTGGTGATGCTCTTTACACCGGCCGAGCCAATATTTCTCGGGAAAACGTCTCCGAGTGCCGGGACAAACGGCGACTTGGGGGCGACTTAATCTAGTCCAGTTTAACCCCCAGAAGACACAAGTTTGCGCGTTAACCGCTAAAAAAAACCCTTTGTCGTATCTCCTCAGTTTCAAGGCACTCCCCTTGTTGCCTGAGCCAGTATCGGAATCCTCGACGTCGACATATCGAGTGACGTGCAGTTTCGTGGTCACTTGGAAGAGAAAGCCAAATTGGCCTCTAAAAAAGCTTGGCGTGCTCAGCAGAGCGGGACAGTATTTCATGCCGGCACACCGCCTGCAACTTTACAAGGCGCAGGTTCGGCCGCACATGGAATACTGTTCCCATTGAAATAATACTAGTTTTTACGGAATTTATCGCGTAGGTATATTTAACTTTTTAAATACCCGACGTTTCGAGAGCTTTACAGAACACATGGTCACGGGAAGGACTGAGATGTTCAACGTCCAGATGTCATAGTTAACCGCGGTTACCATAGATTAAAATTTAACTTTTGTTCCGATCTACACAGTATGAACTAATGGTATCATGAAGTCTTGCAGTTGTATGCTTGGGTTGGGATTTAATTTTATTTATTATAGGATCCCAAGCAGATGGTAGCACCCAGCCATCTTCTCTATTGAAATTAGAATGTTTTTTGATTTCAATAGCCTTGCCAATCATCCTTGGGAGGAATCGGTGTTCTTTAGCGAGAATTTGTGGTCTATCAAATCTGATGTAGTGACGGGGGCGATCCTGTACGTGTTCACAGACTGCAGACTTCCCGGAGCGTCGATTCTTCACATCAGCTATATGTTCTTTAACGCGGGTTTTAATTGATCTTTTAGTTTGTCCTATGTAGGAGAGACCACATTCACAATCAAGCTTGTACACTCCTGCATCTTGCAGAGGGACGTTACACTTGACTGATGGTAAAAACCGACCAATCTTCTTCGGCGGCTTGAAGTATGTTTTGATGGAAGCGCGCTTCAAGATGTAGCCAATCTTGTCAGTGACTCCTCTAACATATGGCAGTACAGCAGGTACACGCTCGTCTGTGGCCAGCTTCACTCGTTCTCTGTGACGTATGTGCGGGACCCGAAGCTTGTTGTCATGCAAAGCTTGCTTGACGTGTTGGAGCTCGGCAGCCAGGTGTTTACTGTCACAGATCCCTCGTGCTCTCTGAAACAAAGATTTACCCACGGTAGCTAACTGTGAAGGATGGTGGTGAGAATCACCGTTTAAATATCTATCTGTATGGGTCTTTTTTCTATACACGGTATGGCTCAAGATGTTATCTGGATTCCGAATTACTAACACATTTAGAAAAGCTAAGGAATTGTTTGCCTCTAACTCCCTTGTGAACTGAATTTTAAAATTTATAGAGTTAAGATGGTCTAAAAATGTAGTTTCTTTATCTAAAGGTAGAATTGTGAAAGTGTCGTCTACGTACTGCTTGTAGAATCTTGGATTTATGGGAGAAGTAAGCAGGGCTTTCTCTTCAAAGTCTTCCATGAATATGTCGGCGATAATGGGAGATACAGGTGAGCCCATCGCCACACCATCTACTTTCTTGTAGAACTCCTCCTTCCACAATAGGTAGCCAGATGTAAGGCAGTGTCTGAGTAATACTGCATATTCTGCGGGCATGTTGTTTTCTTCCAGCCTTCTAGTTACAATTGAGATGCAGTCTTCAACAGGTAAGCTTGTAAACAATGACTGCACATCAAAACTGACCATAGTTTCATTGTCTGCCAGACGTAGGTCTTTAATCTCGCTGACAAAATGGTAGGAATCCTTTATGTGTGCTCTTGTATGTCCCCTGAGCGGTGAGAGTATTTTCGCTAAGTGTTGAGCCAATCTGTAAGTTGGTGAATCGATTTGGCTCACTATGGGACGTAATGGAGCATTGGGCTTGTGTATTTTTGGTAACCCATACAACTTCGGTGATTTGGCGCACGTAGCTATTATCCATTTTACGTCCAGATTAAATTTTTCGGAGTGTTTCTTTATGAGGTCACTAGTTGTTTTTAGTGTGCTATTTGTTGGATCGTTTTTAAGCTTTTTATAAGTACTTACATCCGACAAAAGTTCTTGTATTTTAGAATTATAATCTGACGTATCCATGACTACCGTGGCGTTTCCCTTATCTGCGCGGAGAATCGTAAGTTCTGGTTTATTGCGTAGGTTCTTTAACGCTATAAATTCGTCTTTGGGAAGATTCGGTTTAGGCACTGAATGACGTATCGCCTCCAAATCTTCTTTCCGCATATTGTTTTTAAATAAACAGTCCTCGACACTACAGATAATTTCTTCGTACGGTAATCTGCGTGGAGTTATAGCATAATTGAGGCCTTTGGATAAAACCTTAATTGTTGCACCATCCAGTGTTTGTTTTGACAGATTATAGAACGCGATTAATATATGATCTGTGTTTGTCAATGGTTGCTTTTGGTTCTGGCATTGATTCGGATGTTTGACATTTGATTTGGCCGTTAATTTTTGATATTTTTCTATATGTTTGTTTTTGCATTCGTTATATTTACTAATTTCGCGTTTATTTAATATTTCCATGCAAAAATTACAATCAAACGTCGTTAAAACTTTCTTTAATTCACTGGATGATGTGTCTATGGATTTATTTATGTCATATAGATCGGAGCGTTTTTGTTGGATTACCGCCCGTAACAACTTTATACTCGCCTGATTTAAGATCTTAGCGCTTCCTCAAATGTCCTTTTTGGTGGATATTTTGACACACGTAGGAATGAGATTATGGTTTCGGCATCTCCTCAAGAAATTTAAGGCTGTTAGATATCTTGCGCGCTTAGTCTTTAGATCTTCTAATCGGCGTATTTTATTTGCAATTACCAGTCCGTACTGGTTTACATAATGATTTCTTATATTTACGCGAACACTACACATTGAAATAATACTAGTTTTTACGGAATTTATCGCGTATATTTAACTTTTTAGACCATCTTAACTCTATAAATTCTAAAATTCAGTTCACAATGGAGTTAGAGGCAAACAATTCCTTAGCTTTTCTAGATGTGTTAGTAATTCGGAATCCTGATAACACCTTGAGCCATACTGTGTATAGCAAAAGACCCATACAGATAGATATTTAAACGGTGATTCTCACCACCATCCTTCACAGTTAGCTACCGTGGGTAAATCTTTGTTTCAGAGAGCACGAGGGATCTGTGACAGTAAACACCTGGCTGCCGAGCTGCAACACGTCAAGCAAGTTTTGCATGACAACAAGCTTCGGGTCCCGCGCCTACGTCACAGAGAACGAGTGAAGCCGGCCACAGTCGAGCGTGTACCTGCTGTACTGCCATATGTTAGAGGAGTCACTGACAAGATTGGCTACATCTTGAAGCGCGCTTCCATCAAAACATACTTCAAGCCGCTGAAGAAGATTGGTCAGTTTTACCATCAGTCAAGTGTAACGTCCCTCTGCAAGATGCATGAGTGTACAAGCTTTATTGTGAATGTGGTCTCTCCTACATAGGACAAACTAAAAGATCAATTAAAAGCCGCGTTAAAGAACATATAGCTGATGTGAAGAATCGACGCTCTGGGAAGTCTGCAGTCTGTGAACACGTACATGATCGCCCCCGTCACTACATCAGATTTGATAGACCACAAATTCTCGCTAAAGAACACCGATTCCTCCCAAGGATGACTCGCGAGGCTATTGAAATCAAAAAACATCCTAATTTCAAGAGAGAAGATGGCTGGGTGCTACCATCTGCTTGGGATCCTATAATAAATAAAATTAAATCCCAACCCAAGCATACAACTGCAAGACTTCATGATACCATTAGTTCATACTGTGTAGATCGGAACAAAAGTTAAATTTTAATCTATGGTAACCGCGGTTAACTATGACATCTGGACGTTGAACATCTCAGTCCTTCCCGTGACCATGGGTGCTGTAAAACTCTCGAAACGTCGGGTATTTAAAAAGTTAAATATACGCGATAAATTCCGTAAAAACTAGTATTATTTCAATGTGTTGTGTTCGAGTAAATATAAGAAATCATTACTGTTCCCATCTCTGGGCTGGGGCTCCCCAGTACCAGCTCCTTCCACTTGATCGCATCCAGCGCAGAGCGGCTCGAATCATCGACGACCGAGTGCTTTCCGATCGGCTCGATTCACTGGCACTGCGAAGAGATTTTGCATCTCTTTGCATTTTCTTTCGCACATACCATGGAGAGTGCTCTGAGGAATTGTTCGGATTAATCCCAGCCGCCAAATTTCGTGAACGCACTACGCGGCAAATGTCCTGATACCATCCACACCATCTGGATGCTTGGCGGTCCACCACTGTACGTTTCAAGAGGAGTTTTCATCCGCGTACAACCTCTCTGTGGAATAGTTTACCACCAGCGATTTTTCCGGACCGATACGACCTGGGGAACTTCAAGAAAAGAGCTTACTCCTTTCTAAAGGGCCGGCAACGCACCTACTATTCCCCTGGTGTTGCGGTTGATCATGGGCGGCGGTAGTCACTTAACATCAGGTGAGCCGCATGCTCGTTTGCCCCCTCTTCTATAAAAAAAAAATACTAAGCCGTATACCAAAACTAATATATTTAAAAAAAACAAGGTAAGGCAATATTAGGATTAGGACACTTTGAAAAATCATTTAAAAAAATCTAACTACACAACACCATACCAAAACCGACTAAAATATTTACTATAATGTCAACTGTCAAAATGGCGTCGATAAAGCATCAACCTTTTGACCCTTTACTATTTGATGAAAAGCTATCGTATCACAGAGCCATCTATGCAACCAAGGCTGAAGTTTTAAGTTATAAGAAAGTGACCATATTAACCGGATGACCGTATTACCCTCACGTACTATAATCTTAATTATTGACCTTGAAGCTATATACTTATACTAAGTACTAAAAGAGATGCTGAGATTCGTTTGCAATACACTTAAGAGCCCACGGACTCAAATTTTCTCAGCACCATAAAAATTTATCCTGTGCCTCCTTCCACGCGGATCCTGCAACACAGATTTTGTTTGCGGTGTCTGTTGTAATACTTAGTAGATACTTCAATGATTTTAGGCGCAACTTACCAATTACACTACCGACTGGAGTGTCTTCGCTTATAAAAAAACTCTCGACTGCCCCGCCGTTCATCAAATAGCACCGACTGTCTTGAATAGCTGTAAAACACAAGACAACTGTTTTTTTACTCTGTAATCTTCTAGTAAAAGGTATTCAAGAGCTCAAACACAATGTACTGATGCGGTCAGGATGCGGTTGCATCCGCACTGAACCGTCAAGTAGTTTATAACTTTGTTGTTAATTTGAATTCCACGCAGAGCAAGTCAGTGGTTTCAATCTTTCGATAGAAAACTAATTTTCATTTCTTATATAAAATTATCTAAAGGTTTTTATGGATTATTAAATCGAATTTCTTTGTGCACAAAATGTGCAGAATTAGAGTTAAGGAAAGCAAGCACTTAAAAGAGCCATTTGTATTATTGCCGCTAAACGTATAGGTCGGCACGACCGGGGAAGTACCACGAGCTCTGTGCGAGTGTGAAATAGCGACGCTGCTGCTACGTTTCGTATGGTGAGCGACAACAACTGGGTCACATTTACTTTCCATCAAGTGAACTGTGTTTGTTTGTTACGCCTCCCTTGTTGTTTTGGTAGATTGTTTATACTTTTTCTTACGGTTATAAATTAATTTTGTAAAATAATAAGACAGTAGAAATGTCAATAAAATTCTATTATAGTAATAAAAAAGCGAAATAATGAGATAAATAAACAATGAGATTAAAGATTTAATTCTGCTTAAATTTTGCTTAAATGTTTTAATTCTTGTAATAAACTGTTGAAGTGTATAAGATAGTTGAAGGTATTAATGAAAACTGTATCGTAAAGATTGAACTTAGCATATTTAAAGTAGAAAGGGCGCGCAGATTCAGTTTTTATGATAAATAATATGGTAACCGTAACAAAATCTTGTCAAATATACAAGTAACTGCGCTTCTAGTTTTCAATTAGACGATCACTACTTCTTAATTGTAAAAAATCTTCTTTATCTGTCTTTAAGAGTTGTTTGGTGTTTGATCTTTACCTTTCTTCTTCTGGCTAACTTTCTAAAACTTTTCTACGTATATATGGGTTGATATTATACTTTCTAACTAAAATATAATATATTCATATGTACTCTTAAGTAGGTATGCTTAAAATGTATGGTATAAAGCTATAAAGTATAATTTAAAAGTTGCGTATGATATTTATTACGTAAGGAGTATATTTATTAGGTAATTTGTAGTAATGTATATTTATAAATATATTTATATGTATATTATGTATGTTTTTATTTTTATTTATGGCACCTGCTTAAGTTTCTCTACTTAGTTCATGGTTGACGGGTAGAGAATACTTAAAGGCATTAATCCAATTTTAAACTTTAGATGCAATCAAGGTTTTAAATAAATTTTATACGTGGTAGAGCCACGTTGCAGCTATATATATATATATATATATATATATATATATATATATATATATATATATATATATATATATATATTATAGTATTCTATGAGCTATACTATGGTTCTAGTACGAATGGGTTGACTCGAAGGGTGTAGAGCTACGCTCTCACAGAATACCAGCGTAAAATAGCAGCTAAATGCTGCTGTGTTTCGTATGGTGAGTGTAGAGATCCGGAGACACTTTTTACTGAAAACGAAACGAGACATTCCATATTAGTCCTTAGGGGGGACAACGCGTTTGCATTTTGATTATTGATCGAGGATTGATGTAGATGTCAATGGGCCGCTATGTATACTTATCATCAGGTGTGCTCACTTGTCACCATTATACTTTAAAAAAAAAAACTAAATACCATAGATAAATAAAAATATACCATTTATTTAGTTTCTACTTTTCTACGTATTCTTTTACTACAGCTAATCGATAACTGCTGCTGTAGAATCTACAGTATAAGCATTAATTGTCTATAAGGTATGTGTAGACAACAACAAACTGGAGCAAAAACAAAATAGTATTGATGCCCCCATTTGTTAAGTCACGATATTATGAATGTAGTCAAGTAGTGCATTAGAACGTTGACACGGTGTTAATACTCCCAGGAACAAAAGGTAATTGTACTTGTATGGAGTTTAAATTCGACTTTATATATACGGAAAATGAAGTATAAATTGGTTCAGGGCAATAACCACTTAGAAATAGAGTTCACTTTGCTAATTATGAGTATCTGTTCCGTTCTGTTACAGCCTATTTAGAAATAGTTACTTTGCTAATTACGAGTATCTGTTCCGTTCTGTTACAGCCTATTTAGAAATAGTTACTTTGCTAATTACGAGTATCTGTTCCGTTCTGTTACAGCCTATTTAGAAATAGAGTCGCTTTGCTAATTACGAGTAACTATGTGTTCCGTTCTGTTACAGCCTATTTAGAAATAGAGTCACTTTGCTAATTACGAGTACCTGTTCCGTTCTGTTACAGCCTATTTAGAAATAGAGTTCACTTTGCTAATTACGAGTATCTGTTCCGTTCTGTTACAGCCTTGATAAGCTTCCCCTATATAGCCTTAACTCAAAATTGGGTAACGTAATTTTTCAATTTCACGACAATGTAAATTTTAACACTTATTGGAACTGCAAAAAGGGGAGTATTATAATATGCCTACTGATCTATCAAACTCTATGAATCAATATCTCTGAATATGTCAAACTCCTATGATCTTCGCCGAAACCAAAGAAATTGTAAATGGCTCTTTTAAAATTTAATTTAACATGCTGTAGATACCTACTCGACGGTAAAGAATAAAATTATAAGCAAACCTACTTATTTAAAATTTAATAAATAATTTGCTTTAAATTGGCTATAGATAGCCTCGTAGGGGGGATATTTGCCACAGTTGTCACGTTTGGCAAGCGATCAACCCGCTTTATTTTTATTTTTAGTCGTTATCTGGAAGACTCTTTTTATATAGTATAAGGATACACGAGCACACAGTCTATCTGATGGTAAGTGGTTGCTGTGGCACATAGATCGGAATGCCTGATCGGAAGACCAAAATATCTGAACAAAATTTAAAAAAGTCGGGAGAAACAAATGTTATAAATAAAATGTTAAATAAAAACTTTTTTTTATATTAATTGGCTACAAAAGATTTAATATTGTTGACACATAAATAATTTAAATGCACTCAATTTCAGGTAGCCCATGTACTTTACTGTTCACCAATTTGGATCCTTTATTAGCATTCTAGATTTAAAATTCAAACAATTTACTCCAAAGTTCAGTCTGATTACTAACTCAGCTTTTATTAAATCAGAAGCAGCTGTGATGTGGAGAGAAGCTGTTTGTCTGGAGATTTTGAGTTTTGTTGAGAGTCTGCAGATCATTTTAAATCGTAGGAGAATCTAGACGAATCCCGACCATCTAGCAACCCTACCCTTAGACATCTACATCTATCCTTGTTTACGGTTCTCTACACTCACTATACGAAACGCAGCAGCGTTAAGCTGCTAGTTGACGAGGGTATTCTGTGAGAGTGTGGTCCTTCCCCGGTCGAGTCAACCCATGGCAATTAATTTATCTAGATGTAGCGGAGGTAGAATAATATACCTACTAAATAGAGTTTAAGTACCATCTGAAATACCATCAGTCTTTACCCTCAACTAAATCGTTCATATCATTCCTTAAACAGTGTAATCAATTCTATTATTATAGAGGTGTGCGTGTGCTTATCGGACACGCGCGACTATCCAGGGCAGAGGGTGGTCATTTCCTTTAACTACACGCCCTGGCGAAGGGGAATTGGGAGCTTGAATGAGTAGATATCACTGTACTACTGAGGATTTGCATAGATAACGAAGCGAATTTTAACATTTTAGTTAGGTACTCTTTATTATTTTGAAAGAATGAAACATCCTTATATGAAGCTACGTAATAAATTAATGCACCACATGAATATATTTTTTAATAATAATATATTTATTTATAATATATTTATATTTATTAACCAACATAGCTCAACGGATTAGTAAACTGAAGTTGCAATGGGCCGGCCACATGATATGTAGCTCGAAGAACTGATAACCGATGGGGAGGCGTAGTGTAGGGTGACCCCCCACTAGATGGAGTGACGACGTGGATGCAGGTGGCTCAGGACCGTGCTTTGTGGCATACCTTGGGGGAGGCCTATGTTCAGCAGTGGACTTGTGAAGGGCTGTAATGATGATGATATTCATTTACTCTCATAATTTAGGTTAACAATGGTAAAGTATAAGTTATTATATTAGATTATCATTAATTCAGCAACAAAAAGGAATCCGACTCAGCATTGTGCCGCGGTGTAATACCACAACGTTGATAGCGTTGTGGTATTACTATGGTATTACATTTCTGCCGGTGCGGTGACCTTACCAACCCAAAATAATAATAATAAAACTAAAATAAAGAGCACTAAAGTTGTTAAGAATTATTTCGCACACATCCGCTCAATAAAATAAAATAATTTGTCTTATCTAGTTTACAAGTATTATTGTCGATGGTGTGTCTTTCCTACGGTAGTGGTGCTGGGATTAGTGGTGACGGGATTGGAGCACGCAATTGAGGGAGGGCACATCATTATATTTTAATGAGCGGATGGTTGCTAAATAATTCTTAACAATTTTAATATAATGAATTTCCGCAAAGTAAGTAAGTAAGTAAATATTAATTTGCATGTTAATTAAATATAATAAGTATCAAATTAAGATATCCATTCTATTATTGATAATTAAATACATATAATATATAATATTCAATTATCAATAGAAAAACACTTTGATCATTTTCCATTATCAGAGCGCGACGGCTGTCACCCATTTATCAATTCACAATGGAACATAAAATGTTAATTGTGCTTTTTGTACAATAACATACGTAAAGTACTTAATTGTTTTAACTTACAATAGTAATTGCATTTACAATGAAAGAGCTAAACTATTCATATAACTTTTAGCTACATTTAATATTCATACATATATTGTCGTGGCGGGGCTGTCGACACGCTACGTCATCATCATCATCTGTCGACACGCTACATCATCATCATCATCTCGACTAGCCATGATTAGTAACAGGCCTCTCCCAAGGTGCGATGACGAATATATACCAAACAACAACA